ACTGTGCGGGAGGCCAATGAGGGAGAATTGCTTAAGCCTAGGAGTTTGAGACTAGCCTGAGCAACGTAGTGAGACCCCATCTCTACTAAAAATATAAAATAAAATAAAATACATTTTGACCATTCTAGTCAGTGTGTAGTAGAATGTTATTTGATTTGGCTTTTGACAATTTGATTATGGTTTGTCTAGGTGTCAAGATCTGGCTTTATCTTAATTGGAGTTTGTTGAGCTTCTTGGATATGTAAGTTAATGTTGTTGTTGTTGTTGTTGTTGTTACATCAAATGGAAAATTTGGCCATTATTTCTTCAAATGCTCTTTCTACGCCTTACCTACCTGGCCCCCACTCCCATTTGGCATCTCTTGGTATGCTTGGTGTTACTGCATGGGTCTCTGATGTTCTATTGATTTTCCTTCATTCTTTTTTCTTTTTATTCTTCAGACTGAGTCATTTCAATTGACCTATCAGGATGCTAATTAATATTTGCTAATTCTTTCTTTAGCCAGTTCAAATATGTGGTCGAACCCCTCTGGTGGATTTTCACTTCAGCTATTATGCTTTTCTACTCCAGAGCTTGTATTTGGTTCTTTTACATAATTTCGATCTCCTTAGCTATAGTCTCTATTTGGTGAGGTATCAGTCTCATAATTTCCTTTAGTTTTTTGGACATGGTATATTTTAGTCCTTTAAAGACATTTAAAATAACTGATTTAAATTATTTGTCTAGTAAGTCTAATGTCTGTGCTTTTTCAGAGAGTTTCTATTGATTGCTTTTTTTCCCTGTATATGGGTCAAATTTTCTTATTTCTTTACATATTTCATAATCTTTGTTGAAAACTGTATATTTTAAATAACATGATGCAGCAACTCTGGAAATCAGTTTCTTTCCCCTTTCTAGGGTTTGTTGTTGTTGTTGCTGCTGCTTTCTGTGTAGTTATTGTTTGTTTAATGAACTTTACTGACCTAATTCTATCAAATCTGCACTCTTTGTTGAGGGTGGCCACGGAAGTCACTGCTTAATTAGCTTACTGGACAGCTAATGACTGTGCAAATATTGTCTTAAGTGCCTAGAACCAATAAGTCACCCAGTTTTAGCAAAGCAGCTATGTGTGAACACAGGAGCATGCTCTGAACACTTGGCAAGAGAGTTGACAGCTCCACCTCAGCCCTCCATTTTGTCTTTCATGGAGCCTCATGGTCAGCCAGAAGTGACAGCTTACGGCCTTCTCAGGCCTTTCCTGACACTCTCCCATGCACGTGGCTTCTTAGATATTCAGGAATATGTCAGAGCTTTTCAGAGCCCCTATGGATATCTCATTCCTCAGATTTTCCCTTTAGGCTCTTTGGTTAATCAACTGTTTGCCCAAGCTTTATCCAGTACCTCAGACAGCCATGATGATAAGCAGTTGCCAGTAACTATCTTTGACAAATGTCCCCAGGGAGGCCCTGGCTGTGCTCTGACTCAGGTCAAATAAATACAGCCTTGCTATTGAAGTCTTCCAGGGAACCACCAGACAGGTCAAATGACAATTCTTTGGAAGTGGGGTTTTAAAGGAGCTCTAACCCTACCTATTCTGCCCCTTCCAGTGGCTGCCAGGTTGCTGGTTTTCACTGTGATAAGGGGCTGTTAATTTTCAAGGCTAAAGTAAAGCTGGAGAATGGGAATGGGAGAAGTTCAACTTACAATGCCACAAAGCTCATTGTTCTTCATGAGGTTCACCTGTTTTTCTTGAATAACTGCTTCCCTGATTCACACAATAATTTGGTTAATTCTTAGAATTCTGAAAGAGTTAATCCTGACCATTATTGCAAGTTTTCTCATTGCTTTTACAGAGGAATTTTCAAAGATGCTTACTTTGCCCTTTTTCTCACTTGGCTTTATTTTGCATTTTCCTAATGACTAATGATACCGGGGAGCTTTTCATATGCTTCGAGTAATTCTCATAGATTGAGGAAATGTCTGCTTAAATCTTTTTACATTAAAAAATTATATTACATTCTTGTTAATGAGTTTTGAAAATTCTTTATTTTGTATACAAACGTATCTCTCTACCGAGATATGTTTGGCCAATATTTTCTCCCAGTTCGTGGCATGTATTTTCAGTTTTGTAATGGTATATTTTGTAAAGCAATTTATTTTTATTTGGCTCAAGTCTAATTTATCATTTTTTTTTTCTTTTATGGTTAATGCCTGTGTCCTCTCTAAGAAATCCTTCCCTAACCTAAGGTTACAAGGTTTTCTTCTAGAAGTCTTACATTGTTAGTTTTATGATTAGGTTTATAATCCACTTTGAGTTAATTTTCGTATATGGTGTAAGGTTCATTTTTGTAAATGTATATTCACTTGTTCATGAACCATTTATTGAAAAGACTATCCTACTCCTCATTAAATATCTTTAACACCTTTATCAAAAATCAATTTAACATATATAGTGATTCTATTTCTGTATCCTCTATTCTGTCTCATTTTTGTGCATGTCTATCCTTACACCATTATCACACTGTTTGATTACAATAGTAAGTCTTGAAATTATATGGTATAGTATTCTAATTTTTTTTTTTTTTTTTTTTTTTTGAGACGGAGTCTCGCTCTACCGCCCAGGCTGGAGTGCAGTGGCCGGATCTCAGCTCACTGCAAGCTCCGCCTCCCGGGTTCACGCCATTCTCCTGCCTCAGCCTCCTGAGTAGCTGGGACTACAGGCGCCCGCCACCTCGCCCGGCTAGTTTTTTGTATTTTTTAGTAGAGACGGGGTTTCACCGTGTTAGCCAGGATAGTCTCGATCTCCTGACCTCGTGATCCTCCCGTCTCGGCCTCCCAAAGTGCTGGGATTACAGGCTTGAGCCACTGCGCCCGGCCTTCTAATTTTTTTTGATAGGTGCATATTTATAAAAACCTTCCCACAGAATTCCAAAGTAGATGTGCCATTTTATCCTCCAAACAGCAATGTATTAGAGTTCCGGTTGTTTCCAAAGCTCCTGTCAACATTTGGATTGTCTGTCCTTTTTAATTTTAGCCATCCTAATGGGTATGTGATAATATCTCATGAAATGTTAATTTGTCTTTCCTTGATAATTAATGACTTAGAGCACCTTTTCATTTGCTTTCTGTCCTTACATATGTCTTATTTAGTGGTGTGTTTTGTAAAGTTTCTTTAATTGAGGTTTTGGTCTTTTAATTATTGATTTGTAAAATGATTTTATATATTCTGGAATGTATATATATATATAAATATTTTCCCCCTCTCTAAGACTTTTTCTTCCTTTTTTTTTCTAAGACAGAATCTTGCTCTGTTGCTCAGGCTGGAGTGCAGTGGTGCAATCTTGGCTCACTGCAACGCCCAACTTCTGAGTTTAAGTGATTCTCTTGCCTCAGCCTCTCGAGTAGCTGGAATTACAGGCCTGAGTCACTATGCCTGGCTAATTCTTGTATTTTTAGTAGAGACGGGGTTTCACCATGTTGGCCAGGCTGGTCTCAACCTCCTGAGCTCATGATTCTCCAGCCTCAGCCTCCCAAAGTGCTGGGATTACAGGCATGAACCACCATGCACAGCCTCTTCCATTTTCTTAATTGTGTTTTCTGATGAACATTAAGCTTTTAATTTTGATGAAGTCCATTTGATTTTTTTCTTTAACCATTAGTGCTTTTTGTTTTGCCTTTCCTAAGGTTGTGAGTGACTTTCTTGACTTTTTAAAATAGAAACAGCACACTTTTCATTTTTATGTTTGGATTTATGATTCATTTTGAATTATATTTTTGGCCATTATAGTGGTTAATTATTATTATTTTTTTCTGATGTTTATCCAGTTGTTTCTGAGCCAGCTCCTTTCTCCCTTTGAACTGCCTTAGTGCTTCCTTGAAACATTTTTTTTTCTTTAAAATTTTTATTTTATTTAATCTTCACAACAATTCCACTGGGTTAATATTAGCACCATTACATTTTTTTATTATACTTTAAGAATATACATCCTTGAAGCATTTTAAGCAGAGAAGTACTATGATGCATTTGCTGATGTGAGCAACATGGACTGGAGGTAGTAGGGAGATCAGTTAGGAGGCGACTGCAGCAGTCCAGGAGTGTTGTGATCGTGGCTGCAGTCAAGGCAGCAGTAGTGGAGATGGGGAGAAGAGGAAGTCACTATGTTAGTCCAGATTGTTGGAGACTGATTTGTGTTGATCCTGCATGCTTCCCACTTTCACCAGTCTCCACAGTTTCAGCACACAGAAAGGGACAACACAACGTGATAGTCTAATTCCATGAATGATGAGTCAAGTGTTGGCAGTTTCAGTCTAGGCTCTGCCACTAAATCTTAACTAACTTTATGAAAAAAGCATTTTCTCATAAAAAAAAAACTAGGTCATTAATGATGTCATCTTTCATACTAAAATGATGTAATTCTATGCTGTTCTCTGAATGCTCCAGGAAAGGTAGCCAATGAATTCCTGATGTCAATAAACTCTTTTTGATCTTTACCTAATCTGAGCTCTCTGTAACACTAGGGACTTTACCAACCATTCCTTTCCCCTTGAAATTCCCATTTTCCTGGGCTTCCATGCCTCTACTCTCCTGATTTCCCAATTTTCTCTCTGGTCAGTTTTTCCCAGTCTCCATTGCTGCTTCCCCTCAATTTGCACAACTTCTAAATGTTGACCTTACCAGACTCTTACCATGGGCACATTCTAATTCCACATTTCTTCTGGGTCATCTCTTTCATATTCATGACTTCAGGTATCTAGATACTATTTCTTCAGGTATCTAGATGCTATTTTACATATAGAATTTTTTATTTTTATTTTTGAGACAGATTCTTGTTCTGTTGCCCAGAGTGCAGTGGCACAATCTCAGCTCACTGCAGCCTCCGCCACCCAGGTTCAAGTGATTCTCATGCCTCAGTCTCCCAAGTAGGGGGGACTACAGGCACAGGCCACCACACCCAGCTAATTTTTGTATTTTTAGTAGAGACAGGGTTTCACCCTGTTGGACAGGCTGGTCTCAAACTCCTGACCTCAAGTGATCCACCCACCTCGGCCTCCCAAAGTGCTGGGATTACAGGGTGATACTATTTCACACATTTCTATCACCAGATGATGTCTTTCTCTCTTGCATTCTGAACTTACATAGTTAACGTTTACCTGGTCATCTGTACCCAGCTATGTCCTAAGTCCAAAATTTAACTCATTAACGTATCCCCTAAAACAATCTCCCCTCCTTGATTCCCTGTTCTGATGACTTCTATTTCTATCTACCCAACCTCCCAAATCAGATGCCTGAGAGTCATTGTAAACTCCTTTCTCTCCTTGACTCTCCACAACCAATCCCCAAACACTTCCCTTCTCTTTCCTAGATATTTTTCATGTTCTTATCCAAATTGGAAGGCTTATGAAAAAGGGTCACTATTAGTAATAATGCCAAGATAACCAGTGTAAACCAGTATGATTCTGGGCAAACAGCAATGTATGATTAGCCTAATGTTGAGAAACAGAAATAATTCATTCCAGAGTGGTTTCAGAAAGCACATTGCTCTCGAAGAACTGAGAGAATTACAGTCTGCTTAGTCTAGGGTGTGTGATGCAGACTTACACAGTGAGAGATGAAGCTGGAAAGGTCATTGCAATACCAGATTCTGCAGGTGTAAAATATTTCTCACCTTGAAATTATCCATGAGTGGTAAACAGTACTGGTTGTTTGCTTAGAATTAATTTTCTTTCCTTCCTAGCAAAAGCCATCTCCCATGTAACCACATACTTCAGGAGAAGCTGACCCTACACCCAGCTCTACTAGTGAGTCTAATTTGTCCAAGGGTCTTCTTTTCCCTTTGCTAGAGATTGGCTCATGGGTCAAATGATCCAACTCCAGCCAATGAAACATTAGGGGAGTCTGCTGGAGGATTTCCAAAAAGAGTTTCCTCATTCCAAACAGAAAACCATAAGAAAGGAATGTCATGCCTATAATTGCTGCAGCTATTTTAATTCCAAGTATGAGGTTGAAACAATCATGGATGGCCAAGTGAAGAGATGGAAAAAGCAGGATTCAGGATAACTTTGTGAGTTGCTAAGTTACCAACCCCTGCCCTACTTCTGGACTTCTGAAATATGAAATGATACTTGCTTTGTTACTTAAGTCAGGATTTTCTGTTACTTATAGCCAATGACACTCTGATATGCCATGAAATTTAAGAATGTGAAGTAATGGCCTTGACTTTCACAGAACTGGAAGGAGTGTGACTGCCATGTCACTTACTGTCACTATCACTTGTTTGACAATTACAGCTGCTATTTATCTTACCTTGTGTTGTTGCTTATTTTTCTATGTGATTATGTTGAATATGCATCTAATCTGGAACTTCAAAGAATCAGTTAGAGATAGATCTTACTTCTTTGTAGGCCCATAATCCATTACATAACCCACACATTTTTGTCAATTATTGACTTCCCCCTTATTCTACCCACATAGATTTTTTTGGAAGATGACCAAAATGCTATCTCTATTTGGAGATAATAATTAGTCTCATCTTCATTGGCTTCCTCTTGAATGCGGAGGGAATTATCGGATGAGTACATTGGAACATGGTCGCCATGTGGCCTGCTGCCCCCATGTACCACTTGGAGACCAGCCTAGCATGGAAATGACCAGATGTTGGAAGCTGAGCTACTGGTGAGTAAAATAAATAAGTTAGCTGTACCACTTCCCATCTGCATGGACAGCTTCTGCATTGCGAAACTACGGGTGCATGTCATTTCACATGGCAGCAGTTAATCTCTTAACCCCTTCCTAAACTTGGCATTGGAAAGCCCTAGATGGCCAATTAGGCTGTGTGGGTATATGTACACTAGTGCCCATCTGCCACAGGAATTGGAATCAGTGGCTCAACTCAAGTCAGTACCCAGATACACAGATGCTCTGGGATCTGAGGAAGTGACTTATAAAAAATGAAAAATGACCAAGTAAAGGCAATATGAAGGGAAGTAGAGGAGCTTATTAGGCAGCTCTGGACAGGCAGAGAAAAGTGATGGTTCAACATGTAGGGTGTGCCAAAAATGGGCTTGTTTCACTGGTTATTTGAACACAGAAGCAGGGCTTTCTGTCTCTCTCTCTCTCTCTCTTTCTCTCCATTCATTAATTATTTTTCTGAGTAGACTAATAATATACGCTTTTTGTGAAACATTTGAGAAATGGAAGAAAGTATAAGAAAAAAATAAAAATCACCTATACATGTATCTCCTAATATTTCATTATATCTGTACAGGCCCATTTCTTTCTAGTTTTGTGATCATTTATTTGGTCAACATTTCCACAAATATTTAATGCATTTTGTATGTGTCAGGCACCATACCAGGCACTAAGAATATAGTTGTGATCAATAATTGGCATAATTCCTTATAGAACTTTGGGTCTAGCAGAAGTGACATATAAACACACAACTGCATTAAGAATTATTTAATCTCAAATTTGACAAGCTCCGCAAAGAACAAGCACTAAGTCTTTGGGAAGAATGGGGCATCCTAACCTAGCCTGGATGTAGGGAGTGCACCTAAAAGAAAAACTCTGAAGCTGAGACTAGACTAGTGAGAAACTGCTGGCCAGGGGTGAATGTGTTGGTCCTCGAGGGGTAGAGTAGGGGCAGGCTGGGAATAGAAAGGAAAATTGCCGATGGAGGGAACAGCTTGCCTGAGGTCCTGATGAGGAGACAATGACCAGATGGGGTGAAATGGCTTTGTGGAAATTAGAAAGAAAAATAGGAGCCAGATCCTACAAGACAAGTGTTGACAAACAATAGCCCAAGGGCCAAATCTAGCACCCCACCTATTTTTGTGAATAAAGTTTTATTGGAACAGAGCCACACCCACTCATTTATATAATGTCTGTAGTTGTTTTCACACCACACTGTCAGGGATGAATAGTTGTTACAGAGACTGCAGGGTCCATAATGCTTAAAATATTTACTATCTGGCCCTTTCCAGAAAACTTTGCTGACCCCTGCTATGGGGTTTTGTGGCGGGGCGTATGGTGGAATTCTTTTATCACAAGTACAATGGAAAGGCTTTGAGAGGAAAGCAAGGAAGACATCATCAGATTTTTCTTTTAAAAGAACTCTAGCTACAGAAGCATGTAGAGATTAGAACTGGGGACTCTGGGTGGATATTGGGCACCTAAGAGTATCCAGGAGACAGATGTTGATGGTTTGGACTCAGGATGTGCCAAGTGGACACAGGAAAAAACAAACAGATTTGAGATCTCTTTAGCATTTGTATCGGACAGGACTTGATGGCTGATTGGGAGGGGAAGTAAGGATAGAGAGGTGTTCAGGAACACCCAGGTTTCTGCCTGGTGCACCTGCATGGATGAGGGTGTCATCAACCAAATGGGGAGCCATGGAGGAGAAGCAAGATTGAGAGGGAAAGTCAGGAGCTTTTAGCGCCTGTCTAATGTAATCACAATGGGTAATATGATAAATCCCCTATTAATGGACATGTAGATTGTTCCTATTATTTTTCTTTTCAAAATAATGCTGCGATGCAGCAAAAGGAACAGTCAGCAGAGTAGACAGACAAGCCACAGAGTGAGAGAAATATTCACAATCTATACATCTGACAGAGAACTAATATCCAGAATCTTCAACGAACTCAAACAAATCAGTAAGAAAAAATAAACAATCCCATCAAAAAGTGGACTAAGCACATGAATAGACAATTCTCGAAAGAAGATATACAAATGGCCAAAAAATATGAAAAAAAATGCTCAAAATCACTGATGATCAGGGAAATGCAAATCAAAACCACAATGCAATACCACCTTACTCCTGCAAGAATAACCATAATAAAAAAAACAAAAAAACAGTAGATGTTGGAGTGGAGGCGGTGAACAGGGAACACTTCTACACTGCTGGTGGAAATGTGAACTAGCACAGCCAGTATGGAAAACACTGTGGAGATTCCTTAAAGAACTAAAAGTAGAACTACCGTTTGATCTAGCAATCCCAGTACTGGGTATCTACTCAGAGGAAAAGAAGTCGTTATTCAAAAAAGACACTTGCACAGGCTTGTTTATAGTGGCACAATTCACGATAGCAAAATCGTGGAAGCAACCCACATGCCCATCAGTCAATGAGTGGATAAAGAAACTGTGGTGTGTGTGTGTATATATATATAAAGAAAAACTAAAAGAAAAACTCTGAAGCTGAGACTAGACTATACACACACACACACACACACATATATATAAACATATATATACATATATACACAATGGAATACTATGCAGCCATAAAAAGAAATGAATTGACAGCATTTGCAGTGACCTGGATGAGATTGGAGACTATTATTCTAAGCGAAGTAACTCAGGAATGGCAAAGCAAACATCGTATGTTCTCACTGATATGTGGGAGCTAAGCTCTGAGGATGCAAAGGCATAAGAATGATACAATGGACTTTGGGGACTTCGGGGAAAGGGTGGGAGGGGAGCAAGGGACAAAAGACTACAAATATGGTGCCGTGTATACTGCTGTGGTGATGGGTGCACCAAGATCTCACAAATCGCCACTAAAGAACTTACTCATGTAACTAAATACCACCTGTACCCCAGTAACTTATGGAAAAATAAAATAAAATAAAAATAATGCTATGATGAGTTCATTAGTGCATATATCTCATTGTTTCCTTAGACTGCAATCCTAAAAGCAGAATGGCTGGACAAAGACAGCTCACATTTTTAATCTCTTTGATCCATATTGCTAAATTGTCCTCCACAATGTTATTTCAATTTATACTCGCACCAGTGTGTGCTGCTACAGCCATTTTTGGTTCAATAGGCACCAAATTGCCCTAGGGTTGGGTGTCAGAATCTGTCCTATGTGTTTAAAACAAAACAAAACAAAAAAAATCTATTGCTTCCAGCTCAAGTTATTAATGCTTGAAAGATATTCCATGTTTGAAGGGATTTTTGTGGTACTGGCCTGTAAGTTGACCTTTCTGAGATGAATAAGAAACATTCTTCAAAACTGTGGTTGACATCCAAGGTATGAATTCTGGCACAAGAACTTTTTGAGTTCCATCTCTCCTTGGTGTGATAAAAGGTAACTTACAACCCAAGTCACATTAAGCCCCTAATATATGTGAGCTGGTGTTTCAGGCCACATCTTCTCTCTGTCTCCAAAGAGGATTTTGTTTTTTGTGGCACACCCATCACCTGCCAACTCCACAACCATACTCCATACTCCAAAGTTGCAGCTGCCACCTAGTAGCAGCCAGACTCATGAAGCCTTTTGGCACAAGGCATAGGTTTGCAGCATCAGGTAAGCCTTTTGGTGTGACCATGTAGGGAAAGGGAGGTGTGATGTTGAAGCCAGGCAGCCTTGGATATGAATCCCAGTTCTATCTATTACTTGTTTTCTATCTCGTTAGGTCATGTAACTGCTCTGCCTTCACTTTCTTGTCTGTAAAATGGGAGTTTTTTATAGCTAGCTCAGAAATTGTTGGGAAGAGTAGTGACAAGGCCCAGCAGATGCTCAAAAGTGAAACTGGGGAATGGGAGAGGATCTGTGGAATTTGGGGGCCTTCTGCCCTCTGCACTTCAGCCCCCTTCAAGCACTTCAGACTTTAGGGTCTCAGAGTTAATCACAGCTTAATACACCAAATTAATCACAGCTCTTTTTTAAGAAGGAAGAAATAATGAGTGAGTTTAATTTTCCAATCCTGCTTTAGGCAGTCAGCTCTCAAGTAGAGGAAGATAATCATGGGTAAGGCGTGCTGCATGGCCTGTCTTCTGCAGATGTCCTTCTCACTAGCTGAATGTTCCACCTGAAACTTCCAGCATGCATCTTGTTGTCTCCAAGATGCCCTTGTTAAAATACAGATATCTTCAAGGTAAGCTGTTAGATGTTAGCACAGACTCTGGAGTTAGATGAACTGGGGATAAATTCCCGCTTCCCCACTTGTTAGCTATGTGACTTTGGAAACGTCACTTCACATCTCTGTGTCTCAGTTCCTTCATCTGTACAATGGAAATAATAATCTTGTTAAGGGAAGAGTAGATGAGATAACGTCTGGGACATTATAAGTGCTCAATTAAAGTTAGCTATTGTTAGTAGCTATTACTAAACCCTGAGAAGAAGAGTTAGGTGGTGATACGAGTCCACCAAGAATACACTTAAGTTTCTCCTTCATCTGGGTGAGTTTCCATAGGCTTTGCAAAATAGGTGCTATTTCACAGACGAGGACAACTAAATCTTGGAGAAATTAACTGGTTCTGAGTCACACAGCTTCATCAGGATGCCCTGAAGAAACAGGATATAATGAACACCCTCCTTTAGCTGTGCCCCCAATAACCCTCCTGAATAACTTCTGGCTTCCTAAGAGAGGACTAATGGTTGTAGCCCCTGGAATCCACCTACACACTCTCCCTGAGATAGTCTGTAGTGGACAGCTCCCAAATGCTTTCCAGTTTGAGGAAAGACAGCTTGAAGAGCAACTTGCAAAAGCAAGGTCAGATACCAAGCCCAGAGGCCGTACGGATGTCACACCTCAGTTCTTATGGTGATGACTTGGCATTTAGAGATGAAAAAATCATCTCCATGACAACGTAGGTGATTTATTTACAGATGATTAATCCCATTGTATACTACTGCCAAATCCACTTCTGGCTTCACGCCTGGTGACATGGGGAAAATACCACGGCTTCCTTGTCTTGGGTACATTTCCATCTGCTGGGCATTCTCTGGGTTCCTGGGGGAGGTGAGTCAACAGTCTGTCAATACTATGGATTTAGTGTCTTGATGTGGGTTCTAATGAGAGAGTTTTTATAATGTTTCACACACTCCCAGCCCTGCCGGCCACAGTGGTAATATCAAACCCAGAGACCAGGAACAGAGGAACTTGCTTTCTTCCAGCTTTAGATCTTCCACCTAATATGATCAGAGAATTCTTATTTCATTTAATATGTCTTTCATGAGTGCCTGTTCTGCACCAGATACTGTCCCAGAATAGAAGAAAGCATACTTCCAGAAAATTTGCTATGATCATGAAGAAACTGAACTCAGACAATAATAGTTATAATAATATCTCCTATTTATCAAGCATTTACTGTGTGCCAGTTGCTGTACCAGGAACATCACAGTTTATCCTCCCCAAAGCCCTTGGCTGCAGGTCCCATGGTATCCCTATTTTTCTCTTAATGAAGATAAAACACAGAGAGGTTAAGAAGCTCTCCCAGGATGGCACAGCTGGGAAAGTGGTGGAGTTGATTTTACCCAAATACAGTGAATTCTCCTTATCTGTGAAGGTTATGTTCTATAAAGTGGCTGTGAGCACCGAATTAGCAAATACTAAACAGTTGCTCCTACAGGAAATACAGGGTGAGATTCCTTTGAGCTTCTGATCAATATTTAACCTTGTTTTAATGATGTTTTGTTTAAAGATATCTTATTCAATATACACATTTGATTCATTAACATTGAACTTATAACAAAAGCACTGTGACCCACGCCCAAATGATGCTTCCCTTATGCATATATTTTGTCTGTAAGGCACACAGCAGCCTTCTACTTAGGATCACTTTAGCACTATGCTTTGGGACCATTTGAAACAGCAAAATCACCATCATAAAGCATAAAAATGGGAAAAAATGGGGCACTAAATAGACCACAAAAGAGACACTTGTTCTCAGACTGAGAGCTGAAATGAAAAAGCAGAGTATCACTTTGTTGTCCCACCTCAGCTAGGAATGCTTGTGTTGAGTGTTGAGTGACCCAAGTTTTTGCTGCTGTAAGAATACCTGCAAGTGACCACAAATGTGCCCTGAGTATTGATTTTAAAGTTACAAATAAATTTTAGCATGTAGAGAAATTCCATTCATAAGGAGGATTGGGTATAATCTTATTCCAGAGCATGTTTTTACTGTTCTTCACACTTTACGCTGCTGTGGTCAGCAGCCTCTAAGATGACCTTCAGGGATCCCCACCTCCTGGTCTTCATGCCCTTGGTAACACCCTTGGGAATGCCAATCCCCTTGAGTATGTGCTAGACCTAGTGACTGATTTCTAATAAATAGAATGTGGTATAAGGTCATAGGATATCACTGTCAAGTTCAATTACAAAAAAAACTATAGCTTCCATCTTGAACGTTCTTTCTCTTTTATTAGTTTTCTGGGAAGTTTGCTGCCATGTTTTGAACTGCTGTATGGAGAATGCAACATGGCTAGGAATATGAGAGAGCCAACAGGACAATGAGGCCCTCAATACAGCAAGAAACCAAATCCTGCCAACAACCATGTGAGTAAATAGATCCTCCCCCAGTCAAGACTTCGAGTGAGATTGCTGCCCTGACCAATACATTAGTTGTAGCCTTGTCAGAAACCTTAGAACCAGAGGCAGTGAACTAAGCCATGCATAGATTCTTGGCCCAAAGAAACTGTAAAATAGTAAGTTTTTGTTTTAAGTCACTAAGTTATGTTTTAAGTCACTAAGTTTTAGGGTAATTTGTTACAAAGCAAAAGATAACTAGCACAACTGCCTTCTCACATGCTACATTTATTAGATTGCATGGCATTATGAGCTAGATTCTTTACATGACCTACTGCATCTGATCCTCACGATGACCTGGTAAATTACTGATATTATTCTCATTTTGTAGATAAGGCAACTGTCCATCAGAAAGGTTGAGTAACTTGACCAAGGTAACACAGCTAAAAGTAAATCAGGTTTTTGACCACAGATTTGATCAACCCCCAAACTCTCAAGCTAGACTTGAATTGCACAATACCATTGAGCCGGGATCAGAATGCATTCCTCTTGATTTCAAGGTCAATTTTTTTTTTTCCTGTTTCTCACTTAAAAACACAAACCTTCAAGTGAAAGAAAGATTACATGAGATGGAAAGGTTCAGGTGGCCATAATGATATTCAGTCTCTGCCACTACTTCTTCCTAATCCTCATCTGCAGAAGAAGCCCTTTGAGCAGGATTGTGCAAATGTTATCTCTTACAAAGTCACCCCACCTGGAATCTAATTGTATTAATCTTCTCAGGTTGTCATAACAGAATACCAGAGGTTGGGTGGCTTAAACAACAGAAATTTGTTTTCTCACAGTTCTGGAGGCTGAAAGTCTGAGATCAAGGTTCAGCATGTTCAGTTTCTGCTGTGGCCCCTCTTCCTGAGGTGTAGATGGTCACCTTCTCCCTTTGTTCTGCCATGGCTCTCACAGAAAGAGAAGGCTCTCTAGTGCATCCTGTTCTTGTAATTCCATCAGATTAGGACACCACCCTTATAACCTCATTTAACCTTACCTCCCTAAAAGTCCTGTCTCCAAATACCACCACATTAGGGGTTAGGGCTTCGAGATAGGAATTTTGCCGGGGGGCTCGTAGGGGACATAATTCAGTTTATAATATAAATCAACATTCATTTATTGGCCACTAGGTCCAAAACCAGGTAGAGATTAAGGATGCCACTCCCAGTGTATAAGCCTGAAACTTGATGTGGAAAGGGACCAAGAGATATCCAGTAATCAACTTCTTACCTCTCTAGTCCTTGATTTCTGACAGACACACTGAGACAGATAACCCCTGCAGTGGAGGCCTAAACTTAGGCTATGTGTAGCATTAGTAAATGGCTCAAACAACTCCAAACTCCTCATTTTACAAATGAGGATCTTGAAGCTCAGAAAGATAAAATGACTTGCCCAGGGTTGCAGAGCTGGCTAGTGGCAGGGCCAGGCTTGGGTTTAAGTGTAGTGGCTTTCACCTTCCCCTTGGCCAGGCTAGAAGATGGGTGTCCTGAGAAACCCTCAGAAGGAGAACACTGGACAAATCCTTGAAGTCTCCTGGGCATGTGGGGGTTGTGATGGAGGGGTGTATTGTGAGTGTGGGTGTGTGTATGCAGAGTGTTGCTGGGCAGCACAAGACAGCATAGCTGGCACCTTTGTCTTCCTCATGATTCCGTTTCTTCTCTTGGGCCCCTCTTCCTGTGTAAAATAAAAGTCCCTCTTGGCAGTTCACTAAAAGTACGGATTGACAGACTTTTTTTTTTTTGAAAAGGACCAACTAATAAATATTTTAGGCTCTGTAGGCCAGACAATCTCTCTTGCAACTCAACCCGGCCATTGTAGCTTAAAAGTAGCCATAGACCATATATAATCAAATAGGTGTGGCTGTGTGCTAACAAAACTTTATTTACAAACAGATAGCAGCTGGATTTGTTGTAAGGGATATATTTTGTGGAGCTGCTGAAGCTGGGGTGCTTTATTTGTCCCTCACAAACATCCTCACGTGAACTTACTCATCCCTTTTCTTACCTTATTTTGCCAAGTTCTCAGATTTTGAAGACCAGGACTCCTCATGAATCTGTCAGCCCCCCTCAGCCCAGCTCTGGGCCTCTCTGTCACCACCACTGCCACCTCGTCATTATCCTATTTCATGCCAGTCACTGGACTAACAGGCTTTATCACATTTAATTCCTTCAACAACACCAAGAGGTAAGTATCACTCCACATCTAACACGACTTGCCTGAGGCTTAACTAACTAAGTAACTTGTCCAAGGTTGTTGTGAATACTAAGTGCAGATTTTGACCTTTTTTTTTTTTAATTTGTAAATCCCAAGCTCTTAATAAATTCTCTACGAACTCCTAAATGGATGGTTTTAAACTAGCACAGTGAGAAAAATCATCAAAGTGAAAAGAATATAGAGTAACAAGTTGAATCGTTTAATCTCAATTGTAGGCCTAGAGATCTAGAGCAGTGATCACAGGCCAGGGATCAAATGAAGGTGAGCATCAGAATCTCCTGGGGAGATTGTGAATATGCACATTCCTGGGCCCCGCTCTCAGAGATTCTAATTTCTTAAACACAGGAAGAGACCTAGGAATCTGCACTTAAGACAGCATCCCAGATTCTAGGACCAGTGAGAGACACACAACTTCTGAGGTCCTACTGAAAAAATGCTGTCATCAGACTCGATGTAGCTAAGATGCTTTGGGGCATCTACTTCTGCATCTCCAGTCTTGTGGATGACTCAGCAGCAGGGCAGCTCTCGCTGTGATTCAGCACTAATGACCTAACGTTATGCTCCTTAGAAAGCGTAACTGCTCTACTCTAGGTACAGCCCCAGGAGAATGAGAGCTCTGGTTTTCTTTTCTCTTCTCTTCTCCTCTTTTCTTTCTCAATTATTGGCATGTCTATGCATACCAAATGAGTGAATTTTGTCAGAAACTTTTAATATCTTAATGTGGGCCTTTGAAGCCCCCCCAGGACTTTGGGGAAGAGAGAAAGGGCTCATTTCAATTTGAACCTTCAGTAATCTCACTAATACAAATAAGCAAGGGATGACTACTTAGCACATACATGGTTGCTATTTATGAGAATGTGGAGGTTAATGCAGATTTTGCATACACTATTTTTTTTTTTCTGCTTGGTGATTTAGGCACTCATATCTCTACCCCACCAGCAGCATCTTAGAGGCAGTGAGAACCCTATTTTAGAAGGAGAGTCTGTCCTCTCAAGTTGACAACATGCTTGCTTTTCGGTCTAACCCTTGTCACCTGCCCCAGACCCATTCTAGAAGTGTCCCATTCTCCCCATGAATGAGAAATGAATGTGCTGTTGCAGGCTTGCAGGCACAATGCATCACTCTGAGTGTGTGCTGGCCTCCTTGGCTTCTATTCCAAACATGCTGTGAATGCTCAATTGCAACCACTGGGTTTCTTCAACCTGACTTGCCATCAAATGGATATTGTTTGTGCAGGGGTGGTAGAAAGTGAGTAATGGTGTGTAGTTTCATGGAGATACTTGTTCTAATAAAATATTTCAAGGTCCAGTCTTCCAAATCTCATTACAATTTTGCTATGAAAAGAAATGGGGTATGTATGTGTGTGTGTGTTTGTGAGAAACAGGTAACCGGTAAGCTAGCTTTCTTTCTTTCTTTCTTCCTTCCTTCCTTCCTCCGCCCCTCCCTCCCTCCCTCCCTCCCTCCCTCCCTCCCTCCCTTCCTTCCTTCCTTCCTTCCTTCCTTCCTTTCCTTCCTTCCTTCCTTTCCTTCCCTCCCTCCTTTCCTTCCTTTCTTCCTTTCTTTCCCTCCCTCCCTCCCTCCCTCCCTCCTTCCTTCCTTCCTTCCTTCCTTCCTTCCTTCCTTCTTTCTTTCCTTCTTTCTTTCTTTTTTTGAGACAGAGTCTTGCTCTGTCACCAGGCTGGAGCACAGTGGCGCAATCTCAGCTCACTTCAACCTCTGCCTCCCAAGTTCAAGCGGTTCTCCTGCCTCAGTCTCCCAAGTAGCTGGGACTACAGGTGTGTGCCACTACACCCAACTAATTTTTGTATTTTTAGTAGAGACGAGGTTTCACCATATTGGCCAGGATGGTCTTGATCTCCTGACCTTGTGATCTGCCCTCCTCAGCCTCCCAAAGTGCTGGATTACAGGTGTGAGCCACCACACCTGGTCTATTTCTTAATCTGTTAGGAAAACAGAAAACAGCTCAGGAAAAGAAAGAAAACAGAAGTCAAGACGTCCCATCTGTGATACAGAATAACCCATGACTTAGAATATTTCATGTAATGACTTCAAACCACAATAAGACTTCAGTACTTCAGAGCACAGCTGTTGGATGGCTTCACCATTCACTGGCTCTGTGTCTTTGGGAATCTTCCATAACCCCTGTAAGTCTCAGCCTCCTTGTCTGTAAAATGAAATTAATAATAGTCCTTCCATCATTAGGCTATTGCAAAGATAAAATGAAACAGTATATGTAAAAGTACTTGCATACCTGGCACGTAGTAGGAGCTCAATAACTGTTAGTTTTCCATTCATCAAGTTTTCATTCAAAAAACATTTATGAAGTGCCTGTTAACATGTCAAGCACCATTTTTAGGTACTTATGAAAAAGCAGTGCACAAACAGACAGGAATCCCTACCTTTATGTCTAACGGGGTCAAACAAGTAAAACACAGCTGATATGAAGTGGTGTTGAGTGCTTTGGAAAAAATGAAGCTGGGCAACAGTTCTGGGTAATGGCAAAGTGGGCAGGGGTCATTTTCCTGCTGCCCCTGAGCTGAATGAGGATTGCCATCTGGGACATAAGGAGTGGTGTGGGAATGTTGAGTGTCTTGTAATGATAGAAGAAAACTGGGAAAAGAGGCATAAAGAAATTAGCACTGACCTAATGATGTCAAGGCAAACAATATTTAGGGGTGAGATGGGAATAGAGGTTTTTCCTGAAACACACAGAATTCTGGTGCCTTCACTTTTTCTCTGCTATTAATTAATGGAAGCTTGGGAAGAAGTGGCTTTATAGATCATGATTATTATCTTTACTATACAAGGCTCCCCAGCTCGCGATCAATTGATGAGATAAAGGGGGCATCTGGAACTCCTGAATTTTTAAGTAAAATTATGTACATATGGGTAAGTATGTGCAAGGAGAAAGTTCATACATTTTATCCCATTCTCAAAGCGACCCAAGACCAAAACAGAGTTAGTTCTGCTTCTCCTTGGTTCATAAGAAGGTGACCACACTGAACAGTGTCAGTTGACAATTCTTGTCCTTGCAAGAGTATGAATGGTGCTCCCTTTCATCCTCCAAGCTGTGGAGGTAATTTTAGGGTCTCCTGAGCTGTAAGGCTCCTACCTTACTTCTTTGTTTGATGCATCCCTACATCTCTCAGATGGCCTTCAGCCCTGGGTTGAGAAGAAGGGTCTAGAACACTTTTCAAACAGAATATTGGAACCGCAGGTTGTACAGCTCACTATCTGCCTAGGCTGATGTCCTTGGGTGTTCCTTGACCACAGAGGAGAGGACAGGAGTGGCTCCCCTTTAGGAATCAGGGGTAAGTTTCCAGAGGATTCCTTCCAACATGCTCTTTCCCATAAGTTCGCTTTCACACGCTCCCTCATTTCCCAAACTGAAACTGTGACAGTGTGCCAACTTGGCTGTAGGCAGGACAAAGCGAAAAACAAAGCACCCAGACAACCAACAAAATAGATGATGAGAGCCGGGGGCCTCTAACACTGGAGACTTAGGTGGGGAAAATCCTGGATCTTTTTCTACTGGACTAAGCTTGAGGTATGTGTCTGCGTGTCCAAGGGGTTTATTGAAAATGGTGACTGGAAGATCCTTGCCTTCTAGGCACTTAAAATGTCTTAATTTTACTTCCTTATCAGCAAAACGAACAGAGGTAAATGGAAAGTAAATGTTAAGCTGCATAAAGAGCCAACAGAATTAAACATAGATAAGTGACCTAATTCTAGCATCCCCAAGCCTGACTTTCTGCTTCATTTCTTTTTGGTCTCCTTATGAGGCTACCACTTTCCCTGCACAAGAAAGACTTTGGTTAAAGACTTTGGACTCCTTTGGGTCTTCTGACCTTGGAGCAGCCAAGGAATTCCTTTTTCTCTCTCTTTTGTGAAAAAGTCTGATTCCTTTTTCTCTCTCTTTTATGAACACAGCTCTATTTCCTCTAAGGAAGAAAAAAAGCAAGGAACTGGGAATTGGAGTGTCCGTTGAGAAACATACCCTCTTGGTCATTTTTGGAAGGCACATTGTTTAAGTTTGGAAGTCTAAGGCCATCAGTGGATCATGTTACGTTTGTTTCATGGCTTTGGTATTATAAGTGGAAACCCACTAGTGGTGGGCTTTCCAAATGATTCAAATTTATTATAAAATTATTGGACATAACAAGAGATTATCCAATATGAAGCTATCTAATCTGATTAAACCAAACATTTTCTTAAGATATACCTCAACATAGGCACATACACATTCCTTTGGGATAGAAGAGACCACAGCACCCCAATCCTTATACAGGGTATTGTGATGGCTCATGTGGGTGTGGCTTGAAGTTCTGGATGCTCTCTCACTCAGAAGCCACCTAGAACAGTGCTGAGGATGGGATATTGGATGAGGTCCAGAGTTCCCAGTCTGAGACTGCACCTTCAAGCGCCAGGGCAGTGGAAGCAAGTGTCATGAAGCTGTGGAAACTCAGGGCTCGTATACTTGGTAAACCCTGCTGGATATGACCAGTGTGCATGCTGGCCCTTCTACTCCCACCCATCAGGCTGTAGACTTCAAGTTTACACAAATCAGGCAATCCTAATATGTTGATCCTGATACTATGCAGTGGCCCTCACTGGGACATCGGCAGCTCTATTGGATTGATACGATAAAGTATTATGGGACTCAGAGTCATAACTGAACATATACACCATACTGTGCAGAGGTCATGGGTCAAATTGAGTCAAAAAATATTTTTTCGCTACTTTCGTGTTGTTTTTGTCCTCACAGTGGGTTTGTTTGCTTGTTTTTGACACTCAGACATTTTAAAACAATGAGATTTCATATGACAATGCAGTTTCTGGTTTTGTGTGTATGTGTGTGTTTTTTTAATCAGAAGATATAGGTTTCCTAGGCCCTCATTATCACACACCAAACAGGAGCAGACATTTGCTTTCCATTTGGCTCCCGTTTCTACCTGGCACAGTCTTCTGTCCCTGCAGGCATGTCACTCTGCTGCCTTGATTTGGAAGCCTAGATTCTCCTACAGTCTCAGGTCCAGACTGGTGATGTCCAAGACTCCATTTAAGGAAGGACCTTCCCAATGACCTTCTCTACTGTTTCCAGATGGTAGATCTGCATCTGTGGCTGCTACCTGCAGGACCTGGCACACCACAGAGAGACTGTGATGAGAGCCCACGACTCCCTTAAGATGAAGGCATGAGTGTTAGAGCACCCCATGAGTAAAGGGGAAGTGTCTTAGTCCATTGATGCCGTTATAACAAAATACTTTAGAATGGGTAATTTATAAACAACAGAAATTTATTGCTTACCGTTCTGGAGGCTGGGAAGTCCAAGATTAAGACACCAGCACATTCAATGCTTGGGGAGGGTCTGTTCCTCGTTGGTGGCACCTTCCATGTGTCCTCACATGATGGAAGGACAAAGCAGCTCTCTGGGGCTTTTCAATAAGGGCACTAATCCCATTCACAAGGACAGAACCCTTGTGACCTAATTACCTCCCAAAGGCCCTGCCTTCTAATATTATCACCTTGGTGATTAGTTTTCACTCTATGAATTTTAGGTGGACACAGCATTCAGAACATGGAAGGAGGGGTAGCCTCGGCTTTTCTTTTCCATTTTTTTTTGGAATGGAGTCTTGCTCTGTCACCCAGGCTGGAGTGCAATGGTGCAATCTTGGCTCACTACAACCTCCGCCTCCCAGGTTCAAGCAATTCTCCAGCCTCAGCCTCTCGAGTAGCTGAGATTACAGGCACCCGCCACCATACCTGTCTAATTTTTGTAATTTTAGTAGAGACAGGATTTCGCCATGTTGGCCAGGCTGGTCGTGAACTCCTGACCTCAGGTGATCCACCTGCTTCAGCCGGCCTCCCAAAGTGCTGGGATTACAGGTGTGAGCCACTGTGCCTGGCCGCCTCAGCTTTTCTATCTCAAAAGCTTATTGGTAATTTTCTCCTCTAACTTCCTCACTCATAGATGTGAAAACACAAGCCCAGAAAAGTTCCATGGTTGTTCTAAAGTCCCACACCGAGCCAGCAGTAGAGCCAGGATGAAGGTTTAGGTCTTCTGATCCTTGGCCCAGATGATTTCCCTGCTCTTTTTCCCTTGCCAGTGTGTTATTCTGGGATGAAGCCATTACTCTGTCTGCCCTCCCAACAGAAGCTTCTTCATTTGTGTTCACTTTCTTTCTCCCTGCTGGTCAGTGGTCTTGAATTTCACAAGTACTGCAAGTGTGAGTTGCCTTGGGTTATCTGTTGGTTGGAGTCTATGGCAGTCAATATTTTCTCAGGATGGTGTCTCTCAGCAAGACTTAAGCCAATAAATGGCAAGCAGGCAATCAACAAGGACTTATTAATTCCCCTGATCTTTGTTCAGCACCACAGGCTTTCTGAAGAACTATTACATTTAATTCCTTCTGTAGCAAGTAACAGACCACCTTGTCAAAATTGCTTAAGCAAAGGAAGAATTTATTGGCCCCAGAATAAAATATCAACTCATGGGAAAGGCAGGGCCACAGCTGGGCCTTGGGAAAACTAAAAGTAGAACTCCAGCAAGAGCAGTATTCTCTGTTTAGATCTCACATCTGCTTTTTACTGTATGTTGGGCTCGTTCTCCATATGATAGAAAAATGTCCACCAATGTTTCCTGACTGTATCCTCTCAACTTTGACCATTGGAAAGAAAATGACTTCCTCATTCTGGGTCCTCCAAGCCTATGGAAATTCTCTGATTGGTCTGACCTAATTCAGGTGCCTATCCCTGGACCAATCAACTATGGTGTGGATGGAAGTGGAGGAGATACTCAGGTCAATCAGCTGTGACCTGAGGTGGCCCATGTTGTACTAAGAGGACAGCTTCCACCATAACTATGTGGAAGTGGCATGGGTTGAAGGTGCAGAAGACTGTCTCAGAAAAAAACCAAAAAAGGATGGGAGTCTTAGGAAGACTAAACCTTGCATCCAGTACATCTGCATATAGGATTTTATAATTGAATAGGGAGTTAAGAATTACATATAGAAACAGCAGTGATAAAAGACTGTTGTGTTACTGATTGTGAGATAAAGCAGGGGCTCCTTACAGGGACCTGCTGGATTTCCCCACCCGCTTCAAAGCATGAAAATAAAGAAAGATGAGAGTCCCTTCAAGGGAAATTCTAGGCACCTAGCTTGCCCTGAAACCAGCAATGAAGGAAATGAGTGAATAATCCACTAAGCAAGAAGGTAATAGTAATGTAAACAATAGTCATTCAAGTAAGAGTCACACGATGTTTGGTTTCCTATAGAAACAAAAGCTAACATCTTAACATATATTCTTGAGTTGTTTTTCAGAAATCTGGACCCTCCCACCAGATGTAAAATGTTGACTGCTTTCATGTAGATCTCAGAAAATTGGGAGCTGAGGACTTAACTCCAACTGCCATTCTTTGCTCTTTTTTTCTTTTTTTCCCTAAGGAGCCTGTCAGGCCTCTGAGCCTAAGCCAAGCCATCGCATCCCCTGTGACTTGCACGTATACACCCAGACGGCCTGAAGTAACTGAAGAATCACAAAAGAAGTGAAAAGGCCCTGCCCCGCCTTAACCGATGACTTTCCACCACAAAAGAAGTGAAAATGGCCAGTCCTTGCCTTAAGCGATGACATTACCTTGTGAAATTCCTTTTCCTGGCTCATCCCAGCTCAAAAAGCTTCCCCACTGAGCACCTTGTAACTCCCACTCCTGCCTGCAAGAGAACAACCCCCCTTTGACTGTAATTTTCCTTTACCTACCCAAATCCTATAAAACGGCCCCACCCTTATCTCCCTTCGCTCTCTTTTCGGACTCAGCCTGCCTGCCCCCAGGTGATTAAAAAGCTTTATTGCTCACACAAAGCCTGTTTGGTGGTCTCTTCACAGGGACGGGCGTGACAGAGCCTGGAGAGAGTCACACCCATAGGCCAAATCTTAACATTCCTTTCTGCTGACCCCAAGTTTTTAGACAAAGGCTTGCTTCCTTAACCAATTGCAAATCAAAGAATCTACCTATGACCTGTAAGCTCTCACTTCAAGATGAAACCACTACTGCAAAGTTATAACTGAGACAGTGAAAGAGATCTGACTTAACCAACTCCATCTCCCTTCTAACTTGCAAGCTGTCCTTTTTCATTCCTGGGCATAGGCTGAACTAACTTCGGGAGGAATTTGGTTTATAGTTTATAGTTTAGAGCAAAGACAATAACAGCCCTTTCCCAAAACAAATCCCCCTCTTGCTTGGGGGCTAGACTGCCTTTGTAAGACTAGCAAATTAGCCAAAAGATTAAAAATTATGGTTTAGCAGTCATGCAGCTTGAGGCTACCAGATTCTGACCCCTCCCAAATTGCTCCTGGGAATAATAACACTATTATAAAGCCTAAGATCAGTGTTTGAGATGTTTTGCAGATTCTTCACTCAATGGATCAGCTGGTACCACCCAGATTGATAAACTGGTTCATCTTATCTTCTGGCCCCCACCCAGGAACTGACTCAGTGCAGCTTCGACTACCTATGATTTCATCTCCAACCCAACCGGTCAGCACTCCTGACTTTCTGGCTGCCCCTTGCCCACCAAATTATTCTTAAAAACTCTCATCCCTAAATGTTCAGGATACTGATTTGAGTAATCATAAAACTCCAGTGTCCTGCACAGCCAGCTTTGCATGAATTACTCTTTCTCTATTGCAGTTCCCCTGTCTTGACAAATTGGCTCTGTCGAGGCAGTGGGTAAGGTGAACCCATTGGGTGGTTACAAAAATACTCCCCCTTTTTGGGCCAAACAAATGTATAACCACTGTGTATCGAGCTATAATTTTCCCTGTAACTTCTACTTTTTTGAAATATGCCCCTACCTTTAAAAACCATTCCTTGTAAGTCAATGGAGAGTTTGTGTCCTAATCATCAGCTGCCTAATTCTTCCTGCTTGAAGCCCTGCAATAAATGGCTCACTTTCTCTTGCAGCAAATCCTGGTGTCATTGTTTGGCTTTTTTGTGCACTAGGCAAGTAGACCCAAGTTCCATTCAGTACTAGTTTTTAGAAATAAGTGTGCAAAATGGGCTGGTATTATCAAGAATGACACCATCTAGTGCTGGCTTTTTCAAATTGAAATAGTGGGATAGAAGAAACTTTAAATAAACATAATTCTTTCTCCAGGAGTTTCAATTTTACACAAAATTGGGGTGAGTTCATTAAAAGCAACACAAAACACAGAAATATAGGGGATGGTACAAAATTTGTATGATGCTTAAAATAAAGGTACAATTTTAAAACTAAAAATTCAAGCTTTTTGGCCAGGCACGGTGGCTCATGCCTTTAATCCCAGCACTTTGGGAGGCTGAGGTGAGCAGATCACCTTAGATCAGGAGCTTGAGACCAGCCTGGCCAACATGGCAAAACCCTGTCTCTACTGAAAATACAAAAATTAGCCACACCTGGTGTCATGCTCCTGTAGTCCCAGCTACTCAGGAGGGTGAGGCAGGAGGATTTCTTGAACCCAGGAGGTGGAGGTTGCAGTGAGTTGAGATCACACCACATCACTCCAGCCTGAGCGGCAGAGTGAGGTTGTTTCAACCAACAACAAAAAAAGAAAAATTTAAGCTTTTTGACCTGGGACTCCAGTCTTCTTCTCAATACACTCTACTGCCCTAGTAAAACTAGTGAGGAAGTTTTAAAAATTTGGAGGGTAACTTGAAGTTCTTGACTATTGCTTATCAAAAGCTATGTGGTCTTCGAATACTTAGCTCCTCTGGGCTAAAAGAATTTGAGGTTAGTGGGGAGGGATGATACAGACTGTGGAAGGGGATTCCCGAACTCCCTCTGGCAATAACATTCTGTGTAGGTTTTGTTTTGTTTACTTTGGAAAGCAGGATTTAAGCAATAGAGCCACCGACTAGATGAGGTTTAATTACTTTATAGTGCTTTTACCTCAGTTCTGGGATCTAAAGATTGTCCTTGTGATTAGCATATTACCTTCAGTACTTTCTAGGAAAATGCTGCTTAAGTAATGCAAATGAGTAGAGCTATTTTGCTAATTAGGGGTAGTAGACTGAAGGACACCAGGCCTCAGATAGGACAATAGAATAAAGAGAGAATGAAAGTAGTTGGAATGAGGTCAGTGAAGTTGGGAGGCCTTTGGTTAGCTGTTGGGTAGCTGCCTGAGGGGCAGTTGAGCCTAAAAAGTAGGTTTGGAAATATGAAGGTGATCTTCTCCCTGGGATAGCTAGCAGTACTGACTTTGCTGGAGAGGCCTCACAATCATGGTAGAAGGCAAGGAGGAGCAAGTCACATCTTAAGTGGATGGTGTCTTAATTTAATTTCATTTAATTTAATTTGGGAGAGCTAAATAGTTAAACATGAGGCCAAAGTACATAAGAAAGCGGCAGCCTTTTATTGCAAATATGCACACACTCTCGGGCGAGGTTCTCCAGTCCTCAGGTATGGGGCCAGGGAAGTCGCACTGGTGCTCTCGGGTAAGGTTCTCCAGTCCACAAGTAGGAGGGGCCGAAGAAGTCACGCCGGCTCCTGCGGCAGCAGACTTTTATGCATTGTTACTGGAAGGGGGAGAGCAGTGGGCGGGATAAGGGCGTGATAGGGGCATCTCCGTAGGCGTGGCTGGGTAAGTTTTGATCTCTTAGGATTGACGTCACCTGGCGCATGCTCGGTTGTCCTGCACTTTCCTGGGCGAGGGAAAGTTGGTGATGAAGGACCCGGAAGCAATCGGGACTGTGCCATCTTGTTCACCTTCCTCCATTTTGTCCCTTCTCCTTCACCCAAACAGATGGCAGCGAGAAAAGAGAGAGCTTGTGCAGGGAAACTCCCGTTTTTAAAACCATCAGATCTCATGAGACCCATTCACTATCATGAGAACAGCATGGAAAAGACCCACCCCCATGATTCAATCATCTCCCACTGGGCCCCTCCCACAACACATGGGAATTATGGGAGCTACAAGATGAGATTTGAGTGGGGACACAGAGCCAAACCACATCAAATATTAAAGATGTTAGCTCTCTTCCCATATTAAACACCAGACAACACACCACTGAGTTGATGTCAACACCTCAGTAGTGGAATTCTATCTATCTCCTGCCATTTACAGTCAAGCTTCTTGAAGTATCCATACTCGGTTTTCACTTCCTTACCTCCTATTCAGGCATCAACTCAGCAATTCTTTGCCTACTTACATTATTCTGTGGAAACTCCTCTCCCTGAGGTTACTAAAGATATATTTGTCCCCAGGTCCAGTGGATATGTCTTCACCCTTGATCTTACTTAGCCTCTGAGTAGCATTTAACTCCTGAGCTGATACCTTCTAGAAATTCTCTTCTGGTCTCCATGGCACCCCATTCTTCCGGTATTTTGTCCTCCTCAGTCTGTCTCTTTGTGCACCCTTTTTCTTTTACTCATCTCTGTTCTTGCTCCTGTGTCAGGGAGGAAAAACTTTTTCTTATACTCTCTTAGATTCAGTGGCTAGGGCCAGTGAATCAAATTAATAAGGGAGGGATTAACAGAAGGAAAGGTACAATGTTTATTTAATATTTATATGTTCAGGAGTTCACAGAAAAGAAGTGAAACTCAAAAATCAGTTACATTCAGGGGCTTATGTGCCATTTTAACAAAACAAAGGAGGTTTGGGTTTCAAGGGATGACAAATATAGAAAAGTGACTAAGAAATATATGGGGAAACTAATGGAAAAGAAGGGTTGTTTTAGTAAGGTCTAGTTATACACATTTGTTTTGGTGTTGACTCTTCTCCCAGTGATAAGTATGCCCTTGTCATTCTGGCCTGAGGGGGCACCTTCCCCAAGGGGAAATGTGTGCCCTGTTTTTAGGCTGATAAGGGGAGGGCAGAAAACTGTCCTGCATCTGTTGATTCTCAGTTGCTTTCAGCATAAAATAATCTTTGTGCAAAAGTGGCCTATTTGGGGCAGGGGGGTACATTCTGATTCCTTTCACCTGCATCATCAGTTTTTCTCAATATTGAACCATTCCAATTAGCACACAACTCAACTGCCATTTCTCTCATCTTTAAAGAAATCCTTTCTTGGGTCGAGCACGATGGCTCATGCCTGTAATCCCAGCACTTTGGGAGGCCAAGAGGGGTGGATCACGAGGTCAGGAGATCGAGACCATCCTGGCTAACATGGTGAAACCCCATCTCTACTAAAAAAATATATTAAAAAATTAGCCAGATGTGGTGGCAGGCACCTGTAGTCCCAGCTACTCGGGAGGCTAATGCAGGAGAATGGCGTAAACCGGGAGGCAGAGCTTGCAGTGAGCCGAGATTGCACCAGTGCACTCCAGCCTGGTTGACAGAGCAGGATTCCATCTTAAAAAAAAGTAAAAGAAAGGAAGAAAAGAAAGAAATCTTCTCTTCACCCCTCTCCCCACTTTGGCTTCCCACAATTTCTCTCTTCCCTTTACAGAAAACTGCTGGCAAGAATTATCTACAATGCCCAGCTCCTCTTCTCACTTCTCTCTTAAG